CATCAGGGAGGGTATCAAGGTGAGGGCGGTGACAGTTGTAAATACCCTAGCCTTGGTCAAAGCTTTAAGTGGAGGTGGAGGGGTCTGATCTGGCCTTTGAAGCATGACTGTAGGGGCTTTCCTAGGGGGTTTATACAGGATGTTAATGTTGTTTCCTGGATCATATCCAGCTTTATTAACCTTAATGGTATAAGTGAGACCATCTCCTTGCCACTTTGGCTCTAATGGATTTAGGAAAGTTAACAGAACAGGATTACAGGTATGAGCAGTCTAACAGTTTTCATTTCCTATCCAATTGATAATAAAATATTTTTCAGAGCGGTAATATCCACCGAGGCCTCTGGTAACACACAACCATGCATAACAGTATTGTTAGTTCAGGTCTGAGGCACAATAAGCATTATAACTAGGGTCTGGTTGGCTTTTAGGACATACATATAAGAATATACTGTCAATGCCATGTTTAAAATTATTTCAGAGAATGTGGGTCTGCTGGAGGTCAGCACAGTAATTGAATTTGGTTGAGTGGCAAATTCTCTCAACTAGATTACCATTAAAGAGTGTACATTGGTCAAGAGTAATTTGATTTAAGTCATTCTTAGACCTTCCCAACTCCTTTGTTGTCTTCTCATCTGAAATAACCCAATCCCCATTTCTGAGTAGTACAACCATAATTAAGCAACAAACTATAGACCACAATAAAGGCATGATTAGAATAATCAAGAGTCCTTAATAAACTTCAACTTTAGTGGGTTACCAGTTCGGTGTACTTTCCGTTGGGTGAGGTCCTTGTCGTCTGTAGTTTCTAGTGGCTTCATGTGAGTATGGTGAATCCACGGAGTCTTTCCAGCAACTTTGACTGCAGTGGGGGTACTGAGCACCATGATGAAAGGTCCTTCCCAGTGGGGTTCAAGGGAGTCTCAATGATGGTGTTGCACCAAGACTGAAGTTCCCAGCTCGATGGGTATCTCTGAAGGTGGGTCTGGGTGTTCTTGTCTGAACAGCTGGTGGATGGAGCTCAGCACAGGCTGGAGTACCTGCAGGGCCTTAATGAGATCTTGGTTAGTTATTTCAATTAATTTGTCCTCAGAGAGCCTTGGGACCAGTGGAGGGGGAAACATAGCTTCAAATGGGGAAATCCCAGAAACATAAGGAGTACATCTAGCTTGCAGCAGAGCAAAGGGAAGAAGGCTCACCCAATTATCACCAGTTTCTAAAGACAGCTTAGCTAAAGTGTCCTTGAGAGTTCGGTTCATACATTCTACTTGCCCTGAGTTTTGTGGCCGATAGGCACAGTGGAGTTTCTAATTAATCTTTAATACCTGGGCTAACTTTTGGGTGATTTGGGCTATGAAAGCCAGGCCATTATTGGACCCCATTGATAATGGAAGGCCAAATCGAGGTTTGATCTCATGCAATAGCTTTCTGGCTACCACTAAGGCTGACTCAGACTTGGTAGGGAAAGCCTCTACCCAGCCAGTGAAGGTATCTATTAATACCAAGAGATAACTGTGTCCCTGTAAACCAGGCTTTACCATGTCTGTAAAGTCTACTTCCAAATGTTCTCCTGGGGCAGTTCCTTGATGCTGGGTGGTCTCTAGTGGAGAGCTTTTGGTCGGGTTGAATAACAAACACTGCGGGCATCTGGAGCTCAAAGAGGTGGTCAGTTTGGAGAGTCTTGGAATGAAAAACTGAGTTCTGAACAATTCAGCAAGTTTAGTCCCCCCTAAATGGGTGGTTTAGTGGGCCTGGTGTAGCAGCTCATGTCCTAATGTCTCTGGTAACAGCACTCACTTGTCTGGTAATTGGTACCAACCTCCTGGGGTGAAGGACTTTGCTCCAAGTTGAGATGCTAACTGCAGGTCTTTCTTTGTATAGATCGGTTCTGATAAGGTGGGAGGAATCAACATCAGGGCAGTTACCTCCTCAGTTGACTCCTCTGATGTTGCTATTTTTCCAGTGGCCTGGTATGCTAAATTGTTTCCTAGGGTGATAGGGTCATCTCCTGTCTCATGAGCCTTGCAATGAATGATAGCAACCTGATGAGGTAGCTAGACAACTGCTAGCAAGTCTAGGATCTGTGGAGCATTTTTTATCTTAATCCTGGCTGAGGTTAAGAGACCTCACTCTTGATAGATGGCTCCATGCACATGTGAGTAGCAAAAGCATATCTACTGTCAGTATAAATATTTATCCTTTTCCTGGTGGCTAACTTTAGTGCCTTGGGCAAGCAATGAGCTCAGCTTTTTGGGCTAAGGTGCCAGGCTCTAACTGCTTAACCCAGAGTACCTCTTTTTTGGTGGTCACTGCTGCTGCAGCCACTCGTTTGCCATCTTGGATGAAACTGCTCCTGTCGATGAAGTAGTTACCAGCATTTCCCAAAGGCTGGTCGGTAAGATCAGCCCATAGATTTTGCTGTGTTTCGAGGAGATCAGCACACTCATGAAGAGGCACACTCTGAACTTCAGTGTTGTCATCAGGCATAAGGGTGGCTGGGTTTAAGGCTGAAGAGGTCTTGAAAACCACTGACTCTGGGTCTAGGAGCAGGGCCTGATAGTGTAGAATTCTGGCATTTGAGAGCCACTTTTCAGGAAGGGTTTTTATGAGTCTCTAAACTGTGGGAGGTCACCACAGAAATCTTTTGTCCAAAAGTGAGTTTCTTAGCCTCTTTAAGTAACATTGCCTGAGCAGCTAGCATTCTCAGGCAGGGTGGCCATCCTCCTGCCACAGGATCATGTCTTTTGGAGAGACAGGCTATAGGCCTCTTCCAAGGGCCAGTGTCCTGGGTTAGGACTCCTTTGGCAATGCCCCTGAGTTCATCTATGAACAAGGTTAATGGCTTGTTAATGTCAGGGAGTCCCAGGGCTGGAGCCTCTGTCAGGGCCCACTTGAGCTGCTGGGAGGCCTGTTCACATTCATCAGTCCAGTTCAGTGAATTTTGAGTTTCTCCCTTAAGGAAGTCATACAGGGGCAAGCTAGTCTCAGTAAAGTTTAGAATCCATAGCCTACAGTATCCAGCTGCCCCCAGAAACTCCCGTACTTGTTTTTTAGTTTGTGGGGCTAGAATATGCAATATAGCTTGAATTCTTTCTTTGGATAGAGTTCTTTTTCCTCCCTGTAACTTGTAGCCCAAATAAGTCACAGTTTGGTGACACAATTGGGCTTTCTTGGCCAAAACCTTGTAACCTAATCATCCCAAAGTTTTTAGTAGCTCCCCTGTCGCCTCTTGACAGGACTCTAAGGTGGATGAGGCTGCCAGAAGTTTGTCCACATATTGTATAAGCACTACCTCAGGGTGTTCTTCACGAAAACCCAAGAGGTCTCTAGCCAAAGCCTCATCAAAAAGGTGGGCAAGTTTTTATAATCCTGTGGTAACTGAGTCCAATTCAGTTGTTCCATGACCCCGGAATCTGGGTGAGTCCATTCAAAGGTAAAAATGGGTTGACTCACCTGGGCAAGTGGTAGAGTGAAGAAGGCATCCTTGAGGTCCAATATGGACTACTATGTACATTCTGGGTTGAGGAGGCTGAGTAGAGTGTAGGGGTTAGGCACTGTAGGATGTAGAGTCGATACTCATCTGTTGACCTCTTGGAGATCTTGCACAGGATGATAGTCAGCTGTCCCCGGTTTCTGGACTGGAAGCATGTGCATGTTCCAAGGGGATACACAAGGGATGAGGATACCATTTTCTCTAAGTCTCTGTATATGAATTTTTAATTCCCTTTCAAGCTTGGAGACTTATTGGATATTGATGCAAACAAATAGGGTGCGCCTGAGGTAGGAGTTCTACTACAAGGGACACTTGGTTGACCGCTAGACCTGGAGGGTTGGTTTCAGCCCAGACCTCGGGGATTTCTTGCCTCCACTTTTCTAATAATTTTAATTCTGGGTCTGCATGTGACAGCTTAGGAGGATTGGTCAAATTTTTCAGCAGTCAGTAATCTTCTCCCTCCGGAACCAAAGCCAAAACTCTAATACTCTTTTCAGGAGTTTGGGTTGAGTCAGTTCCCAATCTTAATTTTGGCTCATCTGTTAAAAATTCAATTTGTACTTGTAATTTATGAAGGAGGTCTTGTCCTAGGAGGGGTCTGGACACTTTGGTACCCATAAGAAATAGTGCTGGACTAACTTATGGCCTGGTCGAGCCAAACCAGCAGTCACCTTTGGGTATGATCTTCGTCCCTCCATGGCTCCTATTACATTAACTGAGTCTTTAGTCAATTTTCCCAAGGGTTGGGTCAGCACAGAATAGGTGGCTCCCATATCTACCAGGAAGTCCACCGGATGTTCCCCATTTGAAGGGTTATCCGGGGCTCAGGGGGCAGCAGCAAGCTCTGACTGCCTCATTATTTTTTTTTAGCAGCTTTTAAAATTTCATGTTTATTCATATTTTTTAAATATATGTACATAAAAAAGGGAGATTTACAAGAGGAAAGATTGCCTTACATGCAACACAAATTCCAATGAATGCATGATGGGATCACACATGATTATGTTCTAATCCAAGCCAATCTTCTCAAGTCCATTTCTCAGCCACACTCAAGCTGCAGATGGGATCCCAGCAGACAATGCAAGTGGAATGAGTAGGAAACAAACACCTTTTGATTCTGGCAGCCCTCAGGGCCCAGAAGTATGCCAAAGAGTTAAGACAATTAATATGTCAAGTGCCACAGGGAAGAGAAACAACAACCAGAAAACTGGTATTTGTTGAGTAGAAAGCTAGTACTATTTTAACACAACTTCACAATACTAAAACAAACACAAATAAAAAAGTGTTAGGTAGTAGGGCTACATTTGCTTTTCTTTTTCTTTAAAATATGTGAAAAAGGAAGCCAATTAATTGATATCAAAAGTGTTATCAAAAGAAAGGGGAAAAAATCCACAGATGAATCTGGAATCTATTTTATTTAAGCAAACCATATGTTTTTCCAGTTAACATTTCTACATTTGTAACTCTCCAATACTTCCTCATAAAGAAGGCAAACAGTGACAACTCATGCTTCAAATACTAAAAAATATATTTAAACATCTGATCAAGAAGGTTTTGTTTTTTTGATTTTTGGTAACAGAGGTGACACTGGAAACTGGATTCACAATATTCTTGTATTTCCCCTGCAGTCAGAACCAAGTAGTAGAGAGTTCTTGTGCTTGCTGTGAAGGGAATGCAATGCTCTGGGCCAGAGAATAATTCCTGTAACTTTGTCAATGTGAAGAGGCCCAAAGCAGTTGTGCATCTTCAGAAACAAATGTGATCACAGTATTTTCAGGTTATTTCCAAAGCTAAGTTGTCTCTGTTCATAGTTGGAGAGAGAGGGTTAGCGAAGTAACTTTTATAAGATGGGGAATAGCAAGAGCCAGAGGAGGAGAGAGGCACCAAAGCTTATTACCATTAAAAAAAAAGAGGTTGGGTAGGAGGGACAAAAAGATTATATAGTTCAGGAGAGTCCCAGATTATGGCAGAAATTAATATGATTGGGGAAGGGGTAGGCACCAAAAACAGCACCTAAAGCTAACAAATGCCTAAATTGGTTTGTTATATTCCCTCCCTGCAATGTTCATATGGGAGGAAAAAGAAATTTTATAAGCATCAAAACTAAAAACAAATGCACACTGACCTTATAAAATAAGATTTTGAACTTTATCATGATACCTTTTCTTGCTATAAAATTTACTTTTTTGTTTTGAAGGACTTCTTCATGGTGGATTTACCCTTGCTAGGTAATTTTACTTCCTTTCTCACCACACTGGCTGCTGGCTTCTTTGAGGAGCTACCACTACGTTTCTTGATGACTGAGGCTGAGAGCCTGCCTTTCTTGGCAGGAATTTTGGCCTTAGGAGGAGGGACTTTCTTGGGCAGGGGTCTAACTTTCCCTCGCTGGGAAGCTGGGACTTTAGGTGCAGGCTTTGACCCTCTCTGCTTCATGGGTGCTACTTTCCTTCGGGACTTGGCTGGAGTTTTCTTTTGCAACCTTCTCTTAGGAGATGGTTCTTCATCCTCAGAGTCTTCTGATGACTCATCTTCATCTTCATCCTCATCCTCATCCTCATCTTTAGAATCATCTGGCTCTTTCTTTGGAAATAGAATTCCTGGGCTTGGGTAATAAGGAAAACAGAGTTGGAAGGTGCCACTGAATCCTTTACCAGAGATCTGCTCCATCCACCCATTCTTCTCACATTTCTGCTGAGTTTTCTTCAGCAAATACATTTGGTAATTAGAATTGGTCCCTGGGTGGTTCTCCAGGACATACTTCTTCAGAGCAGTGATGGAGCAGGTTTTCGGCTCATTCATGGTAGCAATGGCAGACAAGATTGCATATTCCATTGGGCTTCCACCAAGCAGGGGTTTCTCCCCTGATTTCTTCAGCTGGAATGTCCCAGATGCACCTTTGCCAGTTATTTGTTCTAACTGGCCTCTGTCTACTGCTCTCTGCAGAGCATTCTTCAACAGCTGAGGCCTAATGTCCACCCTAAGCTTAGGGTAATACTGAAACACGTATTTCCTGATAAGACTATAGGAAGCTTCTTTAGGTTCACAAAGGCGAATAAAGGCCAGTGGGAGGATATCCTCCAGTTTCACTTGTGGTTCTGGATCCACTGCAGGGCTCCTCTTCTTTCTGTTTCTGGATTTCTGAGATGTTTTACTTGCTTTCTGGACCACAACGAAGGTTCCAGATGCACCTTTTCTTTTACCTGTTTGATGACCCCTCTATTTAATTCTCTTTTTAGTGCTTGTTTAAGGAGATAACCCCTTCCCTCCAACTCCAAAGAAAGATACTTATGGATTATATATTTTCGAATAGCAACCACTGATGCACCACTCTTCTGGAAGCATGCCTTAATAGCCTCAGTTAGAATTACATTCATCTTGGGACGTGGTGAGGAAGCCATCGTTGTTTGTTTCTGGGCCCTGGCTAGCTGGCTGGCAGCAAGAGTAGCCCAAGAAGGTATCGTTTTTTTCACTTTCTTCTCCTTTTCCTTAGACTGATCTTTCTCCTCCTTTTTGGTTTCTTCAGAAGACTTATTTTCTTCCTTCTCTTCAATCTCAGGTTCTCCCTTGGGCTGTTCTGTCTCATTAGATGTAGCAGGCGGAGTTTCATTTTCTTGTTCTTCTACAGTGGAGATAGATTCCTCTGAACTTACATCTGGTTCTGGCTTTTCTTCTCCTTCAGCAAGTTTGCTTTTGAGTGGAGTTTCGCGGGTAGAATTCACAGCTTGACGAATCAGCATGGTGCTTTCTTCGACCTTCTCACCTAACTTGTCTGCGTGGATCAGCTGAGCTCCTACTATAAGTGGGAGTGCCTTAGGATGGACGAGTTCACCTTGAGATGTATCAGTTGCCATTTAAAATAATTTCTAGGCCCAAGTACAGGTTACACTCTGAAGCCTTTGCTGTTAACCACAAGGATTTTTCCTAATGGTTTCAGGGTGATGAAGAATCAACCTTTGTGCTCCCCCTTCGTTGTACCCGCGCCCCGTAAAACCTCTCGGCGCCGCTCTCACCGCTGCTGTCGTCTCCACCACCGCTGTCTTCCAGAGACTGCCTCATTGTTGAGACAACAAGGTTTTTGCTTCTCTCTCTAATTTAGCCTTTAACCTTGGACAATCTCTTCGCCAATGTCCCCTTTCCTTGTAACATATACATTGTTGCTTATCAAGTGGAGGTCTTGTCCCTGAGCTTCCTTCTTGTTGGTATTGGTGGGCTTCTTAGTTTCTTTCTCACAGAGCAATTCTAACACTTTGGTCATCTTCTTGTTGGTAGTTTCTTGTAAATTCTCTCTGTTTTCAAAGACCTTTTGTGCTATCTCTATTAACTGGCTGAGGGGCATTCCCTCAAATCCCTCAAGCTTCTGTAATTGTCTCCTAACATCAGGGGCCGACTGGGACATGAAAGCAATATTAATCACTCGTGCATTTTCAGGTGCCATCGGATTAATTGGCGTGTGTAATCTATATGCCTCTAGAAGGCACTCTAAAAACATAGCAGGAGATTCATCGGCTAATTGTCTCACCTCAGTCACTCGAAACAAATTGGTGGGCTTCTTGGCTGCAGCACGGAGCGCGTCTAGAAGCCTCAGGTGATAATCATCGAGAGCCCTCTTACCTCCATCTGTATTGGGGTCCTGGTTAGGTTGGGAGGAAGGGAACAGGCGTTCGATTCCCTGCCAATCAGTGGATATAGATCCCGTCATGTTCTCGGACTCCTCTTTGCCCAAGAGTGCAAATGCGTTAGTTTTTTTTCGGCTGTGAAGAGGATGCGCAGGATCTGTTGGCAACCGTCCCAAGTGGGGTGATGGGTGGAGAATACGGATTCTAAAAGGTTAATCAACGTTTCAGGATCCTTAGAAAATGGAGGATGGTTGGGGATTTAGCTCAGTGGCATAAGCACCTGCCTTGCAAGCAGGCAGTCGTGAGTTCAATCCCCGGTACCAGTAAAAAAGAAAAAAAAAAGCGTTAAAAAAAAAAAGAAAATAGAGGATTTTGGGCTTTCCAATTATAAAGGTTTGAAAACAAGAAAGGGGTGTACACAAACATTGAGCTCCCATCTGGCCGAGGGACCTCCTGTAATGGACAAAGTGGATCCGCCTCAGAGCTTTGCTCTGAAGATGCCTCGGGCCATGGGTGTCGGCAGGTGTCGACGGGAAGCAGCGGGGATGGAGCAGTGGAGTCAGGTTAAGGGTCAGAGGTGGGGTACAGGGGAGACAGTGAGAGTGCCTCCAGCGGGTCAAGGGGGTCTTCGCAGGGCAGGACCAGAGGCGTGGTAGGATCAGAAGGCAGCTTCTTGGTTTTACTTTTGGTTTGAGGGCCGCAGTGACTCCGTTGAGAGAGGGCTTAATCCAGGAAGGGGCATCATAATTATGTCTATCCAGATCTGAATATACACAATTTGGTCAGGGTGAGCAGGGAGCCCAAAAACATACCAGCAAGCAGCTTGTACTATCTCCATGTTAAAAGACCCAGAGGGTGTCCAGAGTTAATCTGGCTTTATGAACTCTTTCCCCATATCCCTCAGCCCACTGCTTGAATTCCTTGAAGTGATCAAGCACAAGGCTAAGGGGTGTGCTGAATTTAGATGTCGGTTCCTTTTTTCTTTTGTGGGAGAGTCTAAGAGACAAAAATAAGATTAGGAGGAAGAGACAGAACAACAATAAGATGCAAATAATGGTCAAAATCCCTTTGTCCATTTTGGGCTCATAGAAGGGGTTCCTAGGAGAAAATGTTCTGTTAGTTTTGGGTAACCAAAAGGAGAACAGTTAGACCAAATGGACAGACAGACAGACATACAAGACAAGACAAGCTGCCTTTGCTCAAAAATCGGTCAAATTTTGGGATCTGGAGGGATTAACAAATTTACCAATGGAGTGGTTCCCCATCAGGAGCAGAGTCATAAACCGACAAGATTCATCCCAAAAAACCAATTGACTCTGTCCTTGGGAGGTCTTCGCTCCCCAAATTGAGGGTCCCCTCCCAAAGTACGAACTGACCATGCTCTAAATAAACCCTCCAGAATACTTACTTTTAGGTGTTTAGAATTGAATCAGGGGTCTTGCTTCCATCCCAGACAAGCCCCCAAATGTGATAGCTCAGACCCTGGCATAAAATCCAAGCAAGCGAGAAATTAAGAAATTTTGAGTTGGGGGCTGGGGATTTAGCTCAGCGGCATAAGCACCTGCCTTGCAAGCAGGCAGTCCTGAGTTCAATCCCTGGTACCAATAAAAACGAAAAAGACAAAAAAAAAAAAAAAAAAAGAAAAGAAATTTGGAGCAAAGACTTTATTTTAGGCCAGGCCTGCTGATGCAGCCTCTGGTAGCCAATATGGAAGACTGCACGCTTCACAGGGTAAGGGTGGAGTTTTTAAAGCTAAAAACAGCAAAGCTATCGGCCTATTACAGATAACATTCTTGGTACATTCCATTGCTCTCTGCGATTAAACATTTTCCCAGAACAACACACCTTGCAGAAGCATGTGGAAGGGGATTAGGGGGGATTTACAAGGAGCTGAAACTTAAGTCTTTACTGGAAATGGAATTTTAATCTTTACTGAAATGGCACATACAGAACAGGAAAGAGGCGTATTGGTTAAAGCTAGGCCACAACAAAAATGAAATGATAGAGACATTTAGTTGTTTCTAACAAATGGCAAAGTCAAAATTGAAATTACTAATGGAGTACTTAGAGTTACTATCTTTCTTCCAAGTCAAAACCAGAAGCCTTACATTCTATCATACTATATTTTTTAGGGTACACTATTTCTTAAATGAGATATTGGATCTTATATTTGGATTCAGTTTCATCCCTGCCTGTTTTATTCAGTAGAATAAAATTCTTATTTCCTCTCCTAAAATAAGTGTAGGTTTGAGATATTTAAGTTGAGAGATTTCTGCTTGAAAATTGAGGCCTTTTCTAAATTGGTGTAAAAACCTGTTTTTGATATCAAGTTGCTTGTTAACACCTACTTTGGCATCTACCAATATAGTATTTTGAGCCAAAGTATATTGGCATGTGAATATTTTATGGTTGGCTATATTTGGAAACTGTTTAAATAACTGTGTGAATTAAAATAACAGAGATAAAGAAGTAAGAGCATCAGACTACTTAGGTTCAAATCCCAATTTTTTTTTTCTGAGGCAAGATCTCACTATGTAGCCCATTTGGGAGCCTCAGGCTCCCAATACTGGGATTATAGGTGTGTGCCATCAGGCCTAGCTCTGATTTCTTGCTTTTGGGTTAATTTTGGCAGAGTATTTAATCCCCAATTGTTGAGGACCTCTAAGTTATAATGGCTAATTTTGCATACTTCCCTATGGGATAAAATGGACGGTTAGAATTATCAATATCTCTTATTTGAAATTTTGCATTGGCTTGTCTTAGCATAAGATCATGTACATCCTCTTGAGTCATCCCAGGATTATACTCCAGGACAAGATCCTTCTTAGCATGTGACCGTCTATACCCTCAATTGTAATCCTTTGCTAGCCCCACCTATCACTATATACACCTAAAAATAGTAGCTGCTTTGGGAGTGGAGGTGGACTGATTTGGGGACATTAACTTCCCAGCCACTGATGCATTACTATACTTGTTTCTGTCTTTTTTTTCCCATACTCTTAAGACAGATAATTGGAACTCTTGGCTGGGCTCCAGACACCCCAATGGCAAAATTTAATCCCCTTATGTGTAAAATGGCAATAAACTAATATATGTTTTATAGAGGTGTGAGTTTAAACATATAAAACAATTTTAACAGTGCTCAAATATTGTACTTGGCAGTTCTTCATAAGTGTTAATTGCTGAATTACTATAATACAATCTTCCTGAGGGCAGAGATTTCTCTTTCTCTCACTGATGTGGTCAAACACTTGGAACAGTGGCTAGCACATACCAGGCACTCAAATATATTTTCAAATGGAAACATATTATTTAGAATATGAAATTAACCAAAAATTTATGTTTATGAATTCATGTTCTTATTTTAGTATTCACAGTGGAGCATAATGTTAACAGTGTTCCAGAATCCATCATATTTGGATTTAATATTGATTTAGCTGTATATCACTAATGTAAATGTCACTGGGCTTCATTTTTCCTTCTGTGTGAAATGGAAGTGATAATTAAACTGCTTCATAGGCTAGTCAGTGAATATTAGATGATATTAATAGCCTTCCTATTCCTGCTTAGATTTCACTTAATTACATTTTTAAATATAAGTAGCTTTTGCTTAGGAAGTAAACTTTTTTTGGTTTAATTTTGGAAGCAGTTTGAACATGTTGTAATTTATCATGTGGAATTTAATTGATATCAGAGATGAACTAATGGGAAAAATTGATTTAGTCTCCAGATAGGGTAGTAATGCCCAGGTCGCCTGTGTTGGGAGGTTGAGGAGGAGAATCACTATGATTTCAAGGTCAGTCTGAACTGCATAATGAAACCCTGTCTCAGAAAACAAAAAGCAAACAAGGCAGTACTGGTTTTTCATCTTCTTCCTTTATTGCCTAGATAGAAACAAAATTTTAAATCTCTATGCAAAGTGAGCCTCCTGATTTTGTAAATCATCTTGGGATTATTTTTCTGTTGAACTGAGGATCATATTTGTATGGTTTCTTCACAAGGCTTATAGTGGATTCTCAGACAGCTATAACTGTCCAATGAAACCCAGCCACACTTTCCAAAATGGTGGATTTTCTGGGAGGAAGAACCTTCTCTAGGGAAGTCTCTTTCCTGATCCTTCTACTGAAGTATCTTGGGAGGGGATCATTTGTCCTGTTTGTACCTGCAATCTATGCACCAGTGTTGCCATTGCCGTGGGTCACACATGCTGAAAGTGCTTGGTGTTTGATGGACCTAATCATACAATCACGTTCGTTTTAGATGGTGACATTAGATCTGATATCCTTGGTCAGTATAATGTTACAGTGTTTGTTGTAGGAGCAATTCTGAAGATGGATCTAGAATTATGAGCTGTCCTTTTCCTTGCCTCATATCTGACTAACAGGACTATGGACAAGTATCTGACTACTGAGTTCCTGAGTTTTT